GAGGTCGTTTTGAGACCAAGGAAACCGGTGTATATAACCTGCTTAGTAAGAAGTGGTTCTTTTCTTCCACTGTCCCGCCCCGGCACTGGCTTTGAGCTTTACACAGAGATGCTGGCTACTTCACTAAATGGCGACTTCTGTTTTCTTCACGATGAGTGTTTTCATCTCCAGGGTAAATGTACTTGCTTTGAAGTCCACAGATGTACGTTGGGCGACTTGGGTACTCATTCTCCACTTTGGTGTAGGAGAGCTTTCCCACGCGAGTCGGCAATCTCTTAACCGTGGCGACCCCATAATCATTTCAAGGCCGGCCGTGTGGGGCAGATCGCTCCTCCCCAATCCCGTCTTGTCCTGGGGAGGTGGCTCCCACACTCAGACCCCTCCCAGGGCTTCAGGTTGGGCTCTGCCTGCGCAACCAGTGTGCTTGCATCCTTTTCACTGGTCATCAAGCTCTTCTCAAGATCTACTGCACATTTCCCAAATCCAGGGAGACAGGCCCAGTTAGATAAGGGTCTGCCAGCTCTTGCTCTGGCTATGACCAGTGACAGCTGACTGGTGCTGAGGAATCAGTGGTTTCCCCAGAAATGCACCCGAGGCCCCGGGATGGAACGGCTGCTCTGTACCTTGGCAGGGATTGAGGTTTTATAAATGAGGTTTTTCAATGGATGACCCTGATCAGTGTGAACTATTAACAGTTGTTGTTTATTTGGGTTTTTTTTTTTTTTTTTCTTTTTTGATGCAGTCCGACATGGCTGGCAGCCCGAAAGATTTGGAGACAGTAAACAGTCCTCCTTAACTTCAAGATGGCAGTTGATAAGCATGTAAACATAAGATATTGAAAATAACGAAGGACATGCGGGGAAACCCAAGCCCTGGGGAGATTAATAAATGATGAGGTGGAGGCGTGAGTGTAGCCAGGCAGGAGAGAGGGCTCCCCAGTGGGACCCATTACTTGGGCTCCTGCCAAAAGCCAGGGAAGGCAAACAGGCCTCTTGTAATTCCGTTCACTGTGATTCCTGGCCTTAAATGCTCTTAGATGCATGTCACAGGGCTATTTGCATTCTCTTAGCAAGTGAAGCATTGTTCCAAAACTGCAAACAGCGGTTGAATTTGGCAAGGTGGCGCCATGTCATCACCAGCTTTGTCTACACCCTTTGTATTCGCTCCTTCCAGGCCGCAGTGTGCTGCTGTGGCTCCCAGTCTGTCATCCGGAGCTCTAATGTTCTGCGAAGCTTGCTTGGGGACAGCCAGCGGGAAGCAGCAGGGGGGCTCCAGGCCCCTCCACCTGCTGCGGTGGGAAAAGCCCCACTCTTACTTGCTGTATCCGTTAGAGAACCAGGGAAGACTTTGTTTGGAATAAAGGAGATCCTTCTGCTTCAGGAAAGAAACTTGACAGTCGTCAGTGCCATGGTGTATGCACCCATTTGCAAACTGTTCTTTTCTGCTCCGTGGTATTCTTTTTTTAAGTAACCAGGTTAAAATATATAGAAAATGTTCAGTTGCTGTATGAATATATGTGGCCCGCCACACTGACGGTTGCTTGGAGGGTGCCCGTGTCCCCATCTCCATTGAAAGGAGGGCTTGCTTGATACAGCTGATGGACAGTGCGCTCTGAGCTGGCCAAGAAGAGATGGGAGAGCAGGGCGGGATGACTCGTGAGAAGGTGGGGGCAGTGGAGTGCAGGACCAGACGCTGCACGGATGTACCAGAGCCAGAAGTATAATAGGATCAAGAGTGTCTGTCTGTGAGCTGGGGGACCCAGAGGTAGGAGTGAGAGATCAGTGATAAGGCCAGGAGTGTGGCCAGGACACTGGGGAGCTGAGTGTGGCGGGGACAGTGGGTCTGTTGCAAGCCTGAGAGGCCAAGGTGTTAGCTCGGCGTCTGTGGATACCGTAGTTTGCTCCTGTGGCTGTTCTCTGCATGTTTCTCAGTCTTGCTCTGAGCCCCAGAGACTGACCTTCAGATACCAGGTCAGTATCCTCGTCCTCTGCCCGAGAACCACACAGCCTGGACTGTGGAGGGGAGAGAGAAAGGAGTTCATTCCCTTCGCTCCTCCCTGTGAGGTCACTGCTGCTGGACTACATTCCCTTACCAAAAGCTGCTACTCTCTCCCCATAGTTCATCTTTATTTTCTCCTTTTTTTGGTGGGGTGGGGTGATAAATGGCTGAATTCAGAGCCTTTGCACTGAGCTACATCCTCAGGCCTTTTATTTTTTAGTTTGTCACCGGGTCTTGCTAAGTCACTAAGTGGCCCAGGCTGGGATTGAACATTCGATCTTCCTGCCTCGCTCCGCCTTCCAGAGTGCTGGGATTGCAGGTGTGCACCACACACCTGGGTAACTCATCTTCCCAGTTATAGCCAGCGCTGCTTGCTTAAAGCCCCTTGTCTTGGGGCCCTGCGCTTTCGGCATCAGGTTGCGTCTATACAAGCAGTCATTTTATTGACCCTTTTTCATCCACGAGCGTGTACAGGTGCACCATCCTTTTGTTTGCCTGATAGGCACAGGTCAATGTCACGGGCTCTGAAATCACTGGAAATGATAACAGGAGGAGGGTACCAGCAAGCACTCACTCACAGCTGGGGGCAGTGGCTCCCTGTCCACATAAAAGGAAACTCTCCCACATTTTCCTACTTCATCTGTGATCTCCTTTAAAACGGCAATCCCTGACTGATTTGTGTGTGTGTGTGTGTGTGTGTGTGTGTGTGTGTGTATTCCTAGTGTTGACCCAATATCTGGCATTTAAAAATTAAAATACATTGGATCAAATGGGGATGAGTTAAATTAAACTGAATCGGATAGAATTTTACCGAATAAAGGAGATGCTAATTTGGCACATCTTAAACATTCTGGGTGTCCTCCTCCTCCTCCTCCTTCAGCATATGGTTCTAAAAAGCTTCATGAACATCAAATAATAAATTAGATCAGGGCTTGAGTTTCTGGAATGAATCATGAATGATAAATGTTTGCTTATCCAGTATTTGCCTCTCACATCAAAAAAGTGTCGAGGTCATGAAAATTTTGTGATAAATTCAGATCTCCTTCAGCTTTCAGAACCCACTTTTCCTTGATACTGTGAGCTTTTTTTCACCCCTATTGCAAAAGGATCACTTTCTGTCTCCAAGGCAAAAAGCAACTTGTGATACTTTCTGAGCATGTAATTATTCATTTGAAACTAATTTTGATAGACACATATTCATTACATTTCCTTGAATTATAATACCGAGCAGGAGTGAAACAGAAAATCTTCTTTGAATCTGAGCTTTAATCACTCTACAACAGCACACACCAAGCCTTTGTCACAGTCTCAGGGAACCTTCCCTGGAAGCACGCAGTGCCTGTTCTCCTCAGAGAGTGGGTAGTAGAGATAAAGAACCCAGGGGAAACGCAAGGTAAACAGGACTCAGTTTGCACGGAGGGAGGAAGGATGGTTCTGCTCCTTTTTCTTTTCTCCAAACACAGAACATGTGATATTTGACTCTGTCCCTTGGCTCCTGTAGTTTGCACATACATGAAATTGCACTTCCGAGCACCTCTTATTTGAAAAACTACTTCAAGGCAGAGTTTACAATGAGACTTTTCACGCCACAGCAATATCTGTGACTAATTTGGGACTGCCCAAATGACTTCCTCGTTCTTTCTGTCCAGTTACAAAAAAAATGTCATTTTAAAGCAAAGATATTTATTAGCATTTATGAATAAAAATTCTGAGTGTTCTAACACAGCAATAAAAGCTACTGCCAGAGATCTCGATTTGGAGAAGCCCCTACCTCAGAAAGTCTAAGCTGGTAGCTGAGCTTTTCACACATGACAAATGGGGTGACTATCTACAGTCAGAGAGTGCCGCCACCTTGATTAGTTTCAGAAATGCATTCAGTTGGCCGTCAGAGGAGCAGGTGCTGCCCAGAAGGCTGGGGTGTGGCAGACTTGGTACAGGTTGGCTGGGATGACTTTGACTCCTCTGCCAGCCCCATGGGTTGGTCATAGCTCCTGGAGGTGCTTCTGGGAATGTGCTGGCATCAATGCGTGGCGTCTACCATCATGAGCTGGGGGATCAGGGGGGATGGTGGCATTTAAGACACGATACACAGAGCAGAATTTGAAGTCAGAGCATCAAGCCCATCCCTTACTGTCTGTGAGAAATCTTGACCTTCACTTTGCTGCTCAGCTTTCCATGCCTGTGTCAAATACCTGAGATAAATCAGCTTAAAAAGAGAAAAAAATGAGTTTGGCTGAAGATGGAGGTTTCGGTCCGTGAGGGGGTGGAGCTGCTGCTCCTGGACTTGTGGCGTGGCAGCACATTGTGACTTGTCAGGATGGATGTGAACGTAATGCGAGTGTTTTTCAAGCTCTAAATATTGACAGGGAGATGAAGAGTAACTCTTTTTATTTGGAGAGATGCAGTTGATACTTTATTTGAAATGATTATTATTCTGTGTTCCTAGGATCATAGTTTTTTCCTAAAATATTTTTAAACGAGCTTTCTTTTTAAGGGGCTCGATCATTTTCTGCACTACAGCAGCTCTCATTGGCCAGTTTCCAAGGGCGCAAGCCAATGGCCCCGGCCGATCAGCCACGGGGGATCGGTGCTGCTATAGACGATCCTGCTGATCCCTGTAGCTGGTCCCACTCTGGCCTGAGCAGCAGGGCAGGATCGGGGCTTGTCCGCTTCCTCTGCTCACCACTGAGGCTTTTTACTTCCTGAAACTCGCCACCTGCCATCTTTTGCTGAGTAAAATGACCATACACTTTTAAGTGACTGACTTAGTGACAGGCCCCAGCCATAGCACCAAGCCAAGTGGATTCACTTCCCTGCATTCTGTCTGGCACTCAGTGCTTTTAAAGCCCAGCACTTCCAAAAGTCGATCGCACTCCCACATCGATGATTTTCTTCGGCGTGTTGGAAGGTTCCTCGGCCTTCTTATCGCCGGAAGGACAGTTAATTCCCTGCTGCTGCTGCCAAACGTGTAGACAACTTGTTTCTTCTTTCTACGGTGACAGGCTCACGTCATCATCCTGGGGAGAAACCCCTCTCAAGAGGAGGCAGCGGACTCCGCACACCTTGTCGCCCTTGCTGCTATCGCTTCCGAGAGGCCCGAGCACCATGGTGAGCTCCGCTCCTGCCCTCATTCGTGTGCCTGGGGGTGCGGGAAGGGGAGGATGGGGCTGTTCCCTGGCCCTGCAGGGAGCCCTCCCTGGGCTCTGGGATCTCACTGTGCTGCTCTCTGCTCCCCTGATGTCCTTTGCTCTCTGGCCCAGTGGCCTCCCTCTACCCTTTTCTCTTCAGTACAGCTGCTCTCCATCCAAACACAGCTACTAAGAGCCCTGAGCAGTCTGCACTGGCTTACAGGGAAACCCCTGCTTTCAAAGGTCACTAAGTTTACAGATTGTTGTAGAGCTCCTTCAGCGGCAACTCTGACCTCCAGACTCTCTCAGGGCTGAGCTTTCTATCAGGACAAACTTACACAACTTCAGGATACCAAGAGGAAGTTGCCGCTCTCAGCTCACATGGCTTTTCTTGTTCCTGCCTATGAGTTTGAATCCCAAGCTCTGGGAATTCTTTACCCTACCACCCCAGGCCCAGAGTGTATAGGTCTCTGATGACGGGAAATACTCTAGTGATTTTGTTGTTGTTCAGATCACAATATTCAGGAATGGAATATAACTTATGAAGACCTAGGGACATATTCCAAGATAGCAGAGAAAAATAACTATGTACCTAGTAAAATTATGCCCAGTATGCCAGAAAGCATAAAATCAGAGTGTGGAAGGCTTCGGGCTGATTTGGAGAGCAGGGGCTGGGTGAGGAGGCTGAGCTTGGGGGAAGGTGAAAAGGAGGTCTGCTTGAGCAGCCTGAGTGGAGCAGGTCCACGGGCCAGGCAGGCAGCTCCAGTCCACAGAGGAGCTGATGGAGGCTCCCACAGTCACCCACCTGCCCCTCCTGCCTAACGGATGCCCCGGGTTCTAGTCTCTTAGAGTTCAGAGCACCTCTTCAGACCTGGAGGAACCTGGGTGGGGCTGGAGAAGGGAGGGGCAGGTAATTTACCTGGTGTACCTTCCCTGGAACATTCCATATATAACAAGCAAATTCACTTTCAGAACCATCAAAGAATCAGCATTATGATAGCTTCTTCCCAAAATTCCTTTAATCAGGGAAACATCCACTCCACAGCATTCTTAAGGAAACACCTAAAACGCAAATACATGTTGATGGAAACCTCTGAAATAGCAGGAGTCAGGAATCCCAGTGTCTCCAGGGACCAGGCGGGAGGTGGGCGCACGGTGGGTGCTTATTAGAAAGCAGCAGCCCCAGCAGGTGCAGTCAGCTGACAGTAGGCTGTAGAATGAGAGAGAAAACGCGGAGCGGCGCCGGCTGCGGCAAACTAGATAAGCCCATACCGTGCTGTTCGCCCCAGCCCGCTGCTCTCTGAGGCCAACAGGCTTCTACTAGCAGGTCTGCTTTTTTCAAGAGAAGGCGGCAATCTGAATTTCCATGGGAAATTGCCAGTTTTTAATTAGTGGTAACTGACTCCAATATGTCTAAGGTTCCACATGAGCCACATAAGTACGCGGGCTGGACCCATAACTTCTAACTTAGCAGGAACACCAGTGAGCGATTACTGGCTTTGTTCGTGTTTGTGGGGAGGTGATGGATTAAAACAGCTGGAGGGTTGTAGGCATTTAAGATGATGGGACGTGAGAGAGGAAGATCCCTTCCTGCGAGAAATCCAAACACACAGAGGGGACACAGCCAACAGACCATCTTCCTGGGTAGAGGGCCTCCTTGCTTCGTGCTCAGTCGGTCACTCATTGACTATAGGAATTGGGTGAGGACCAATAGAAATCGTGCCCTAAGATACTTGTAATTGACTTCGTCACTGTGAAGTCAGGCCATGCTGCTTTGGGTGATTTACACAATCCGTGACCATCCACTTTGAACTATATGCATACTTTTTAAGCTTTCCAGTCTAAACAGGATGCGGGTATTGCCACCCTGAAAAATTGGGAATGAAAAAGATACCTACTTGCACACAGCCATGAGAATGAAGTGACCTCCCATAGTAATAATGACTAATGCTTATATAAAATGTACTGGCCATGGTTTTAAGCCATGTGACATTTGTTAACACATACATCCTTAAAAAATTCTGGGATAGGTTTTAATTATCCCCAGATTTTTGATGGAGAAGTCGAGGCATTGAGAGATTAGGTAGTTTTGCCAGGGGCCCAAGGAAATGAAAGGGGACAATTTGGAATTTACCTTTGTTGAGTAACTAAGGGGAGACCAGATCCTGCACAGCCGTCACCCACACAGTGAGTGAGAGAGACTGGGCCCAGGCAGTTATCCCAGAAGCCATGCCTCACTGTTAGCTTACAGGGACTGGCCCTGCACCTGTCCCCTCTCCTGCCCAACCCCTGAGCACTGAGGCTCTGGGTTGTGGCATTTAGAGTAGATGAGGGACCCAGGGAGAGCCGAGGCAGTGCAGCGAGAAAGGTTGGGACAGCCACTGGGGAGCCCCCAGCCCGGGGGGCCTGAGCAGACCTCAGCCCCATGTCTCTGCTGCCACTCAGGGCATTTAGGGACCTGCACACTGAAGACAGTTCGCACAGGAGTACTTTCTATAAAGGAGTTCACACAGCCAGCTCTTCCTACCAGAAACCTCCGTCAACCTAGAGAGGCCTCTCTTCCTATTCACTGCTCCTCCCCAGAAGGACAAAGTCAGATCAGTCTTCAGACTGCACCTAGCCAAGCCCTTCACAGACTAGGTTTCTATTGACCAGAAGACGCTTGGAACATCAGTCACCTCCATGCCACTGGGGAGAAGGTTTTCCAAAGCCTTCAGGGAGGCTAAAAGTGAGGAGCTTGGGCAGAGGAACAGCGGGATAGAAATTCGCATTGCTGATTGACTGGCAGCAATGTGGAGCCCTGGAACAGGTGCAGAAAGGGGCACCAACCCTCACCCCTCATTGACTCACCGGAGTGAGAAAACAAAAGCAAGGAAATGCTGCATGTTGTTCCTACCATGTGTACCTAGTTTGAGATCCACTGCTGTCAGAGTCCTGGAGTCCTCAGTGGCAAATGTGGGGAGGCTGGATACTGAGCGGGCAATGGCAGCGTATCGACATCTGGGTTTTGTCCCTGGTCTTACCTGCAGGTGCCTAAGGGTAGCATGGGCAGAGCAGGTGTGACCTGGGTAGCACAAGAGCAATCAGCTCCCCTGGAAGGAGACAGACTCCACCCAGCCAGTGACTGTAGCAAGAGTTTTAGTGGCCCATTCCACTCTCTTTCCTGTCATCTCTCTGCTGTCCCCTCCAGATTAAGAGAAACGTATCCAAAGCTCCAGGCCTCTGCCACCTCCAGCAAGGGGAAAGGAAAGGGGACAGTTTGGAACTCATCTTTGACTAGCAATTAAAGGGAGACCAAATCCCCAGTACCTCTTACCCACACAGGACTGCCTGACCTGTCCCAGACTTTGGGCACTTGTAGGTTAGAAGTCCAGACCAGATCCCAATTTGCATGTTCTGCTAAGGGTCAAGGGGGGATTCTGAGCTCCGATTTCCTATAGTTAAACCTGTCTGCCAAGGAACAAAGCTTTTGAGTTTTGTTAAAAAGAGGAAGAAGCAGAAGGAAGAGGAGGAGGAGGAGAGGAATCTGTGAGAGAAGGATTTCCCACGTGCAGATTCTCTGTAGCTGGCTTGCTTGCTGGATGCCCATTGAAGGCATTGCCCTTCAACAAAGGCAGTGTCTCTGGCCAAGAAGCAAGTGTTTCAGGCTCCATGCTAAAGCCAATGCCGTTGCCTTCCCTGCATTCCTCATGCAGAGGAGACTGCCCTAGAAGTCAGGGAGGATCGTGGCCGAATAAAGATTCCCAATTCAGGCTCCTTTAATGTCACTAACCTGAGCCTGGCCAGCTTCCTGGAAAAACCATAGACAAACTTGGTATTAACAAATCTCTTAACCAGGCTAAGTGCTCCGGGCCTTGGCCTTGTGTTTATAACTCTTCTCCTAAAGGATATTAAAATGAAGTGGCCACATGCCAAATACATTGCAGTCTAAGCCTTGGGCAGCAGAGCCCGTTGAGTACAGGCGGCCTTGTTTGGAAGTGGCCCCATCTGTGCGGGCTCCAGTGGGCTGGAGAGCTCCGCTGGTCCAATGATGGCAGACAGAACATACGTGGGGTGAGGGACAGGGTGCCCTGTCCAAGTGAATTCCCCACCTGCAGTCACTATGACAAATGTATATATCTCCCCAATGATCCTCTCCTTGTATTTTCCACAATTGACCTGAAAAAGTTAAGTATCTGAAGCTGCATCTTGCCATGTCCCCTCTCCTTGTTTTATTCTACCTTACGTGTTCCTCCCTTTTCTCAGCCTCTGCCTGTGTCCTGCCATCTTATTTTGACCTGTGTTGGGCCCACACTCATGCCTGCCCTAGGTGCTGCTCTCTGGGTAACTGATGCTTCTCTGGCCCTGTGTGAGACTTGCGGGTCCAGAAGGACCCTGGTATTCACAGGAGCGTGGATCCTGTGGGCTCCTGACATGATGGGCACCTGGGGGCAGCCTATGTCCTTCACCTTCCCTGCCCTTCGTAGCTGCCCCTGCTGCCTCACGCTGAGGCCTTCACCCTAGAGGTGTGGCACAGCCCAGCTGGGGAAAGCACAAGAAACCACCACTGGCCCCACACACCCTGCCTCCCTTCACCTGCATTCTGTTTTCACCGTCTTCCCACCCCTTCATGGCCTGTGTGCTCCAAGAACCTTCCTCAGCCCAAACTCAGGGCCCATTTCTCACTACAGAATGCCCAGCCAGCCCAAGCTTGGCAGCTTTGGAGCTCCCTAAGCCGCTGGTCATGACCAGACCTGCTCTGAGCCCTACAGGGAGTGTGTGGGACGGGGAAGGCAAAGTATGGAGGGCTGAGGCCAAGACAAGGAAATAGAAGGCTCCAGTGGTTTCTAGCAGCATCAGGAAGATTCCCTCTCAAAACTTCCGGAAGTCATCTCATAATCATCACATCTAGAAGATTGGAGTTGGATGCTGGGGTCACTTAGCAAGTTAGAGGAAAGCAAGGACCAGGTACAGCATGCTGATTACACTCCAGAAACAGAG